TTCTCTTGCCCCCTCCTCCGCAGCAGGAAGCCAGAGCTGGTGCTTCAACAGAATCCAGCCCATGGAAGCAGCAAGTGGTGATGCCTAGCACCAGGGCAGGGCAGGCTGCTATCAAATCCCCCCACACTCCCTCATGTCCAGACCCCACACTCCCTCAGCCTGCTCCTGCCCCCTCCCCCTGGCCAGACACCTTACCCTCAGCCTGCTCCTGCCCCCTCGCCCTGGCCAGACACCTTCCCCTCAGCCTGCTCCTGCCCCCTCGCCCTGGCCAGACACCTTCCCCTCAGCCTGCTCCTGCCCCCTCGCCCTGGCCAGACACCTTCCCCTCAGCCTGCTCCTGCCCCCTCGCCCTGGCCAGACACCTTCCCCTCAGCCTGCTCCTGCCCCCTCGCCCTGGCCAGACACCTTCCCCTCAGCCTGCTCCTGCCCCCTCGCCCTGGCCAGACACCTTCCCCTCAGCCTGCTCCTGCCCCCTCGCCCTGGCCAGACACCTTCCCCTCAGCCTGCTCCTGCCCCCTCGCCCTGGCCAGACACCTTCCCCTCAGCCTGCTCCTGCCCCCTCGCCCTGGCCAGACACCTTCCCCTCAGCCTGCTCCTGCCCCCTCGCCCTGGCCAGACACCTTCCCCTCAGCCTGCTCCTGCCCCCTCGCCCTGGCCAGACACCTTCCCCTCAGCCTGCTCCTGCCCCCTCGCCCTGGCCAGACACCTTCCCCTCAGCCTGCTCCTGCCCCCTCGCCCTGGCCAGACACCTTCCCCTCAGCCTGCTCCTGCCCCCTCGCCCTGGCCAGACACCTTCCCCTCAGCCTGCTCCTGCCCCCTCGCCCTGGCCAGACACCTTCCCCTCAGCCTGCTCCTGCCCCCTCGCCCTGGCCAGACACCTTCCCCTCAGCCTGCTCCTGCCCCCTCGCCCTGGCCAGACACCTTCCCCTCAGCCTGCTCCTGCCCCCTCGCCCTGGCCAGACACCTTCCCCTCAGCCTGCTCCTGCCCCCTCGCCCTGGCCAGACACCTTCCCCTCAGCCTGCTCCTGCCCCCTCGCCCTGGCCAGACACCTTCCCCTCAGCCTGCTCCTGCCCCCTCGCCCTGGCCAGACACCTTCCCCTCAGCCTGCTCCTGCCCCCTCGCCCTGGCCAGACACCTTCCCCTCAGCCTGCTCCTGCCCCCTCGCCCTGGCCAGACACCTTCCCCTCAGCCTGCTCCTGCCCCCTCGCCCTGGCCAGACACCTTCCCCTCAGCCTGCTCCTGCCCCCTCGCCCTGGCCAGACACCTTCCCCTCAGCCTGCTCCTGCCCCCTCGCCCTGGCCAGACACCTTCCCCTCAGCCTGCTCCTGCCCCCTCGCCCTGGCCAGACACCTTCCCCTCAGCCTGCTCCTGCCCCCTCGCCCTGGCCAGACACCTTCCCCTCAGCCTGCTCCTGCCCCCTCGCCCTGGCCAGACACCTTCCCCTCAGCCTGCTCCTGCCCCCTCGCCCTGGCCAGACACCTTCCCCTCAGCCTGCTCCTGCCCCCTCGCCCTGGCCAGACACCTTCCCCTCAGCCTGCTCCTGCCCCCTCCCCCTGGCCTGTTTCACACTACAAGGGCCACACGCTGGTTTTCTCCCACCTGCCAGCGCAAAAACCGGGGTGTGAGCGGCACTGCCGGCCGAACAGGCTGCTGGGCCAGGGCACCTCACCCCCTCGGCACGCTGCTCCCCCGGGATCACGCGATCCCAACGGCAAACCAGCGCACACGTGACTCGTGGGAACGACACCCCTGGGTCAGTTGGAGGCGGCCGGTAACGTTGAACCGGCCCAACAGTC